ATTTCTAATTCTTTGATCACAGTAGTATCTCAGTCTTAATTTTCTATTAATCAGTGAAAATAAAAAGTTGATTAGTATTCAATTATATATAATTGTGCAGTAAATAAATTTATTTTTCAAAATGGAAACGCTTGTTTAATATAAGAATAAAAACAATATAATGATTTCATAAAAAATTTTTTTTTTAGATCTGTCAAAGTTAATCTTTAAATTATTCTATAGATACTGCAAAGCAATTTGCAAGGGCAAGTACTGACATTAAAAGAGAAATCGATAAAATTCAATGAAAGTAAATACAGAATTGTATGCAAAGAAGTGGGTACCACATCTTGCATTTTTGCTACTAGTAAAAAAAAGAAACCTTATAAGATCAGTAAGTAATTTTCTTCTTTAAATAGAAATATTATATTTTATATATTTAATTGTAAAGTTTCCTTAATAAATTCCTAATAGAAATAATGTACATGTGTAAAAAAATAAGATGAGATATAAAATATATAAAAAAAAATTTATTTTAATCGCACACATATATTATACATTATTTTATTTATTAGTAAATATTAAAAATATCAGTATTATTACCGTACGAGAAAAATTGCCACAAGATTCGAGAAAGTCAAATGTATTGAATTCTAATAATATTGTTTCTTCTGTGCCAAAAGCACTGAATAAAAATCAACAAACAGATATAAAGAGAAATTCAAAATTGTTGAAAATCTCCAATAAGAAGCGCAAACGAAAAGAAAGTTCAGGTATAAATTATTATTAATTATCAAAATACTCATCTATATATATAAGTTATAAATATCATTACACAGGATATCTCAAAACTCGAAATACTATAACAAGAAATTTTCCGAAAAATTAAGTAAAAAATGTTATTTGCAAATTTTTATTTTAAGCAATATTTTCTAAGATATAAGTTTTAATATGGCCAATTATATACTATATTTAGGCGATGAGTATAAGTGAACATGCTGAAGGATGCGCTCATCAACATTCATTAATAATATCGCACACGAGATATGGACATCTAAAATACATAGTGCGAGGTTTTTATTTACCACTACAAATTGGAAGCATTTTTTGGTCAATCAAAAGCTTTGAAGCATTAAGACCGTACAAATCTCTACACAAGGTAAAAATTCGGGTCCCAAAATTCGTGATTCAAAATAATGTAGCAAGATAATTCTCGAAAAATTAAGTAAAAATGTTATTTGTTTTTTTATTTGAAGCAGTATTTTTTGAGATAATAAAGGTTTATAAATATGACCAATTTCAGATTAAGGCTGTCCTGGTGAAAATTTTTCTCAGAATTTTTCATACAATTTTTTAGAATTTCTGTATAATTTTTCAGAATTTTTCTGATTTTATAACTTTGTTACATTTTTTATATGAATTGGAACATTTCTCAGAAAATCTACATCTTTTTTCAGAATTTTGTATGTTAATTATGAAATATTGTAAGACTTTTAAGATTTTTTTGTAAATATAATTTCTGATGAAATGTTACAAAATCTAAAAAATTTAAAAATACTTTTTAAAAATTATGAGATGAGAAATTTCAGAATATTTCAGAATTCACTTGTATGAGAAGTTCTGAGAGAAGATATAAACTTTCTGAATATTTATGAGTATTTCTGAAAAATGTTCCAATTCATATAAAAATTTTCATATAAAAATGAGAAAAATTTTCATCAGGGTAGCCTTAATCTGTAATTAATCACATTTATAAACCTTTATTATCTCAAAAAATACTGCTTCAAATAAAAAAACAAATAACTTTTTTACTTAATTTTTCGAGAATTATCTTGCTATATTATTTTGAGTCACAAATTTTGGGATACCTTGTGTAGAGAACTAAATATTTAAATATTTTCTTATTCAAAACATAAATCATGCAATTAATCAAAAGTTAATTTTTTATTATTGTTTTCTTAAATAAAGAATAATAATTAAATCTTCATTGATCTGATATAATTGCAAATATAATTCTTTCCTGAAACTTAATATCTGCAATGAAGAAGGAACAATTATTTTTATGAATTAAAAATATTAAAGAAAAAAGAAACTAAAAAAGATATATATATATATATA